CTCATATGAGGAAAAATTCAAAATGCAGTGCTGACCATGTGCCACATTCCTATAGCTTCATGTGTTGGTGTATCATTGTTCTGATTGCACTGTGGCACTTTTCATGTCTCTGTATAATATCTGCACGGTTGTCTTTGGGTTTTTTCTTCTCATAAAATCTACCAATGGTTGTTTATATTTCAAGCAGATCCTTCCTCTAAATACAACTTAAAAAAAAGAAATTAAAAAAAAAAGCCCATAGTGTTTTGGTAGCTGTATATAGAACACTTACTGAGACTGCTTTCCCTCAATTTATTGGTTGCTAAACATACTTTGTTCTCAGAATTGAGAAAACAAAATCCTTCAAAATAATTTCAGTTGATCAACTTATTAAATATTTACAAGCACCTATATTAATATAAAGTATATGTCATCAGGATTTATAACTTGTAGCCTGGAATACACTGTGTGAGTACTTTTCTGATGATTCGAAAGAGACAGGGGACTGTACTTAGAGTGAGTGTAGGAAAACATTTGTATGAACCAGCACAGAACTGCATTGTTCCTGCCCTGAAGATTTTGGACTCTGTCCCCAAACTGGCCATTGGATCCATTATAAACCCATCTGACTTGATTTCTCTTGAAGAGCAGAAGGGTCTAAAATAAAATTATTGGAATGGCCTGTGGGAGAGGGGAACACTCAAGTGAATAGGCACTCTGCAGATAAAGTCTTTGTGAAGGTGGCCTCCTGTACCAAGAACTCTGGTTATCTTTTGAAGTGTGTAACAGGAAGACCGTGAAAATAAACTTTTCCAAGTTCTTTTTTTGTTGGTATTGTTCTTCTATGGCTTTGTCTTATGCTATATTATGGCATGTTGGCCATTTATATTGATCCTATTTCCAATTTGTACTATTATAAATTCAACATGCATCCTCTTAACGAGCATTACTCCCTGCTTCGTATGAGACGAAAAATGTTATAAAATCTTGTATCAAATGTAATTGCTTGTGGTAGAGCATTATACTTCAAGAGGATGTTCAGTGTTAATTTACAGCCTTTAAGGGGTGTGACCAGTCAGTGTGACTACACTGAATCTGTGGGGTCTCTCCTTACCAGCCTGCGTGTGAGGGCTTTTCATGGTAGAAGCTGTATTGGGAAAGTAAGTTATGCAATTCAAGGGGGGCTGATGAAATTAAGTGGCCAGAGGGGTTGTTGGAGCCTTTGGTATCTGTTAGAGAGCTGAAATCAGGGGTTTTTTATGCCCCAGGACTTCATAGTCTCCGTGTACTCAGGGATAGTCTGTCTCACTCTTGTTCCTTGCACTGTGTTTAGTGTCGGAAGAAGAATGAATTTGGTTCATTTGCCTTCCTTTTTGAACACACATTATAAGTTTTCCCTTAGACTTTTTTCCCTTTGGTTATGAGGTGTTCTTTTTTCAGTCAGTTTTGAGCTCCTTTAATTTTGAGTTAATAAGTTAACAGTATTAACCTTAATTTGCTTCCTGATCGTTCACAGTTAGCATTTAAAATAAGCCTTGGGCTTGGCAGTTTCTTATTCGCTCTCATCTTAATGGATAATGAAAGCAGCCAACCTTTCCCACTAAAATTCAAATGTGTAGCATTTGTATTTAGAAGATCTCCCCTACACAGTTACTTAACAAATAGATTGCAATTGTTTCAGCATTGGTCAGTGTGGAGAAGCAGCTTGTCTGCTGCCAGTCGATACATTCCAGTATTCATGCCAGCTGCCAAAGAACAAAACTTTTTGATAGAGTATGAGAGGAAACATTTTGTTTTGGGAAACCTAGCTACACTGACCAAGGAGAAGAGGATCCTTTTTACATATACAGAGTGCTCAGAACACCTGGAATCCAAAGTACTACTTCTATATAGTGATTTTTAGCATTTTTATGGATTTTACTGTGCAGAGTGTGATAATTTAAAGCTGCTGTGGCTGAGGTGGTCTTGATGACTCAGCCAGTTGAAATCTTTCAGATGTCCAAAGCTACCTGAATGTGTGAATGTGTGAATGACTCCCCTCTCACTGTGAAGTAACTGGACACAGAATCTTCTGTAGTGTACAGGAAGACATTATACACCGTGTAGACTATGTAGGCTCCCCATAGAGAGGTGAAAACATCACTTGCAGTGACATGTAGAATCATAGAAAAATGTAGATGGAAAGGGACTTCTGGAGATTGAGAGGCTCAGTTTTCTGGTTTAACTTCACTAAGTTAAATCAGTTTGCTTAAGGCCTTGCCTAGTCAAATTTTCAAATTCTCCAAGGTTTCTTGGAGATGCTGTTAAATTTCCATCCTGTTTCAGTGCTCAGCCACCCTCATGGTGAGGAGTTCCTTATATCTGTTTGGAATTTCCCTTGCAGCATCATATGGCTGTTGCCTGTTGCTGTTTTGATGTGTCTGCCTGAGAAGAACCTGCCTCCATCCTTTGTATAACTCCTTGTTACAGCAGTGGGCTCCTTTTCTTCTCCAGACTGAACAAACCCAACTCCCTCATAATGCCTTTCATCTCCTGTGTCAGCCCTTTTGGTATTTTAATGGGCTTCCTCTGGACTTGCTCCAGTTTGCCAGTATGTCCTGTGCTGCATGGCACAAAACTGTACTCCACATGTGGCCTCACCAGTGCCAAGCAGAAGGAAATAATTACTTCCCTCGACCTGCTGTTTGTGCTCTCACTTACGCAGCTCAAACTACAGTCAGTTCTCATCGCTTTAAGGGTACACTGCTGGCTGATGTTCAACTTGCTGTCTGATAGAGTCTCCAAGTCCTTTTCTGCAGAGCTGCTACCTGTCCATTCTGCAGCTGTAATGCTGTATAGGGTTTTTGCCTTCCCAAATGCAAGACACGTTACATTTGTCTTTGTTTAACTTTAGAAAGTTCCTGTTGGCTACTTCCTCCACTTTGTTGAGGTCTCTTTGAATGGTGGCCCTGCCCTCCAATGTTGCAGCTGCTTGCCCCATTTTATATCATCCGCAAATATGCTGAGGATGCTTTCTGTCCTAGCATCCAAATCTGATGAAGACATTGACCAGTATTGACCACTGAGGAATACTGCTTTTAACCAGCTGGCAGTTAGACTTACAGTTATTGACCATGACTCTTTGAACCTCATGGCCCAGGGAGTTTTTTTGTCCATCTTCTTGTCCACCCATTCAATGCCTCCTCAGTTTGAAAACCAGCATGCTGTGGAAGACGGTGTTAAAAGCCTTGCTTAAGTCAAAGCAACTGGCAAGCACTGATTCTCCCTGGTCCACAGAGCCACTTATTTCTTCAGAGGGCAGTCAGGTTGGTTGTACGTGGTTTGCCTTTAGCAGTCTCTGTTGATTGATCCCAGTCACATTCATGTCCATCGTGCCTGGAAACAGCTTCCCTTTAGGGCTTGTTCTAGGTTTGGTACAGCGAATGAGGTGAGACTGACCATTGTCTAGTTCCCTGATCCTTTATCCCCTCCTGCCCCCACCTTCTTTTTCTGTTGGGTTTTGTTTGTGAGTTACCTGTTCCCTGTCATAGGCAGTCACCATGACTTTTCAAAGATGATATCCAGCAGCCTTCCAGTGACATCAGCTAGCTTTCTCAGTACCTTGAGTGTTTCCTATCTGGTCCTCTGTACTTGTGTAGGTCTAAAGACTGAATAGTTTTTAACTTGATCGTCCCCTTCCTCAAACTTTGCAACTAGATGCAGAAACCTGGGAAGCCTGATACCACACCTTGCTGGTAAAGACCATGCCCAAGATTTTGGGTACCTCAACTTTTTCTGTACCTCTCATCACTAGGTAGCTTCCTGGTTTTGCAGCTGAATTACACTTTCTCCAATCTGCCTTTTGTTGATGGTGTACCTGTATGAGCATTTCTTCTTGCCTTTTACATGTGTCTTCAATTTCAACTCCAGACAAGCTTTGGCCTCCCTGTTGAAGTTTCTGCTTGCCCAATCAGTCCATCTATATTCTTCTCCGGTTGCCTGTCCCTGCTTTCCACTTTACTGTCTCGTTTGAGCTAAGTTAGTGAGAGGAGGTTGGTTTGTGCTCCTAGAAGAGAGTTCAGGAAGATGACTGGCTGTCACAGGCTACTTTGCAGCTTCCCAGGGCATTCTGCTTATCGTTCCCTGAGCAAGCTCTAACTCTACTGTTGTGAGTCCAGAGTCTTAGTCTGCTTCTTTCCTTCCTTTCTTACCTCAAGATCTTACACTACCATTTCAGAGTTACTGTATCCAAGGCTGCTGTTGGCTGTCATACGCGTGAGCGCTTCTTTGTTATTTGTGAGTACCAGGTTCTGCACAACCCCTCCCCTACAAGCCTGTTCAGCGCCAGCATCAGAAGTTGCTCCCAGTGCATGTTAGAAATTCTCAGGATATTTCACACCCTGCTACTCTGCCCTTCCAGTAGATGTTGTGTGATTTAAGTCGGCCACGAGAACAAGGGGCTCTGAATATTGGAAAACCAGCCTAGGAGGTTTTTCCATTTATTGTGGTAACTGAAAATAAGTTCTTCTTAACTAGTTTTCTTGAACCAAAAGGAGCTATTGCAAAGATATACATATGATATTTTGATTTGATTTTGAAATGGAATATTTACTTTATATTCATTTTGAATTACTGCTTTAGTGCAGTCACAAATACTTATTCAGCTGATGTCCGCAGTACAGCTGATGAGGTAAAATAACCTGGTTTTATATAGCATGGATGCTTTAATATCCGTAGTATTTGCTCACAACTAATGAATTTGCAAGTGATATGGATGATTATTTTTTTTCCTCTCTAGGATTTCTAGTTTTCGATTATTCTGAGGCAATTAATGTGCAACTACATGAAATATTGCTTCAGATTGCACTGTATGGTTGTCTTACATTCAGACCGTGCAAATAATACTTGCAGGTATATATGTGCCACAAACAATTCCTCATCTTCTTTTTTTTTAAATGACTAATAAGAGAAGTTATTGTCTATTCATCATTATTGTATTTTGTTTGTTAGTGATTGGTGACTACTTAATTTGTTTTAGTTTGAAGATGGGGAAGAAGAGCCGAGTGAAAACTCAGAAGTCAGGTACAGGAGCCACAGCGACAGTATCTCCAAAGGAAATGTTGAATCTAATTAGTGAGTTATTGCAAAGTAAGTTTTGTTTTTGTGCCCTTTGGGGAAAACGGATGGTGTGCGGACCGATCAAAAAACATTTTCTTGTTGAAGCCAGTGAATTCTATTTGTTTCCTTCAAGTGGCCAAGCTTGCTATTTCAGCCTGCATAAGATAGTATTGTATGTATTTTGTAGTATCTATCTCTATTGGTATATACCATTATTGGCTTTTTTATATGTGTATATATTGAATATACCATATTTCTGGCAGCTTTTGACTTTATATCTCAATACAAGCATAAATACTGGGTGAGATTAGATTAAAAAAAATTACTCGAGATAACTTGACATTGAAGCTTTGTAAAAATGTTTTTCTTGTAAGCCTCAAGAATTGCACTGTTCCTGTTTGATTTGAAGAGTACTTTGAACTGATATCAGTGGAGAAATTAACTGTGGAAAGCAGCAATACAACTCGGTTCAACTGCACTCATATTTTTGTTGCTTAAATAATTTTTTTTTTTAATTGTTGCTCTTTGGAATCTTTTCGTAGTGCTTAGTTCTTTTGTATAGACCAAAGGTTCTTTCACTTGTTGAGGAACTTGGAACTCATCCATTATTTCTAGTAAATATGAAGAGCAGAGCATAATTTCATATGATGATGCTAAAATGCTGTTCGCTCTTTTTACTGTCTTTAGTAACTGTGCTGAACTACAATTCTTGTTGAAATACAAGCCCAGATTTTCATATCCTGGACACATCTAAATGTTGCCTTAGAAAAATCAGAGTTTTTCTTTAGTGTTGCTCACAAAGAGGAGACAAGGAGTTGGCAAAGCAGTTTGATGCTTATGCTAGAATTGGCCTCTGCTTTGCTACCAAAAATGAAACATAGATCTAATTTTCTAAGCAAAGACAGGTATCAGCTGTTCTTTTTGTCAAGTTTCCATATTTTATTCAACGCAAAGATTTTTTTCAAATCAGATGAGCAAGGTAATCTTCAGCTGTCCACCTGGATTTGTGCGGCTTAGATCAAGAAATCTGCACACTGGTATTTAGAGTATTGTCAGAGACACTGGATATAATCTGAAGCTAAAGCTTGGCTAAGTGTTCCTTTGCTTGTCCTTGCAGTACACATGCATCTATGAAAACAATATTGACTAGGCAGGTCAAACGTGTGTACCAGCAAATTTCTCAATTACTTAAGGTCAGCTCTGTGTTATTATCACAGGCTTTCATTACGGTAAGAGTGATGGCAAGCAGGCTAATATAAACAGAGTGGTTTGCTTGGATTATTGAAAACAGAGACTTTTTGTTTGTTTGTCTTCTCTGAGAGACTATTTACTTAATGGTCAGGTTGTTTACCTTTTTTTCTTCCTAGCTTTTAAAATCTTTAATATTTTTTATATCTGAATATTGAAGAAAATAACTTGAGGGAAGTTATACTCTGAAAACTTAAAAAGTATCTGTTAATTACGTGCCAAAGAATGGGCTATTTATAACAATGGAAATTATAGTGTTTACCATGTAAACATGTTTGAAGTACAAGTAGTGCAAAGGTTCAGTTAAAGTTGCTGTGAAACCATGACCTTTTCTCTGATGTTAATATATATACACACACACACACACACTTTATTAAAGAAAACATTTTCATTTGGCACTTTTATTTCCAGAATGCAGCAGTCCTACCCCAGGTCCTGGTAAAGAATGGGAAGAATATGTACAGATTCGTTCTCTTGTTGAGAAAATTCGCAAAAAGCAAAAAGGTAAATCTGAAAGACTAAGATAAGTGTGACTCAGAGTCTCGATTTGCCTGGAGTTGTCTGTTGACAACTAAAAGGAGTATTTTGTTGTTGTTGTTGTATAAATATTATGCAATCCCATTACTTTGGGATAAAAATCTTAATTCTCTGACATGCAGTTGCTTTTTACACTTGCAAGTGTTTCTGAAATGTTCTGGTGGGCATGACCACTGGCATTAACCATTTTAATACATATAATTCTGAGTAAATATCACAGACGGGTGATCCTGTGGTAATTCTGTTTGATAAGTAGAAAAAAGAGCTTGAGACTGTAGTGAGAGAGCAATCTGAAGGACTAGAAGTGAAAATCCTGTGAGAATAATAGGCCTTTTTGATTCCTGATTGCATAGTCTTCTCCTCTGCCTCTTTAAATCTGAACATTTTGAATTTAATTTTATGACTATTTTATTTTAACCTGAACAGTTTACTGAACACGGAAACAGTTTCAGTAATTCAACAACATTACATTAAAAAATGACCAAAAAAAAAAAAAACCCCGAACGAAAGAAATATATTGCCTAATAAACCTATCTGCTATAAATCAAGCACATAATCAAAATAAAGAAATGCTTATGGTACCACAATTAATTTGTTGGAGTTTTATTGCCAGTTTTCTGAAGTTTGTTACGCTTATTTTTCAGATTAGAACAGGTTTTTTTCCCGGTATGTTCTACAACAAGTCACTATTATTGATACTTTATTTTCATATTAGTTTTGTTTTTATTTGGAGGTATGCTCTAAAAAATGCTCTTTATGTAATTTTAGTAAAATTAAGCTTTTTTTTATAACTATTGTATTTTAACGGCAGAGAAAGAACAGTTCTCTGATATTTATCTGGTCGCAGCAAAAAAGCTGGGCTGTGTTTAAAATGAAGTTTGAGTGGTTCATGTACTTGCTTGAAAAAGGAGAAGACTGTACTCAGAGGCTTGAAATGTCTTTTTCACACCCGTTTTTAGTAATTTTGACTAATGCATAGAATCTTACTTCAGGAAGGGACTTTTAAACCTCTGAATGTCAGTTATTGTCAGAAGGCGTACGGAAGAATAAATGATACTGTTTGCCTGCATTCTGTAGCTCTTGAGGTGAATGAATGAAGGTGAACTTCATTCATTACTTTGCTGTCCCATGACTTCTGTGAATGTATGGTACATGTCCTGGTATTTATGATGTAATAATATGTTACTGTAAAATATTATTCAGGTTAACAAGAGCAGAGTTAGCATTGGGATTGCGCTGTTCACTGTTACCTTTCTTCTGCACCAGAAAGATCGAAACATTCATGGGGAAAATGGCTGCTGGCAGGAGAGGTAGAATTAGTATAGCAGTATTATGTTAATAGGACATTTTTTTTTTCCTCGAAAGATGCAAAACCCACTAACCACAGCACTGTTGACATGCAAATAGCTTTTAATGTAACGTTCTTACATACATAGTGAGTCTGAATAGTATGGTGTCTTTCAGAACCATTTTTTAGTGGAACATAATAATTTCTATGACGCAGTTTTCTAGCTTAATAAAGGCTGTAAACAATTAGCAAAGAAAGTATAAATTGCTGTTGGGAACTCTAAGATGTACAAATTAATATATATTGCCTAAAGTGTCACACTTTATGCTTTTCTTGAATAGAACACCAGGTTGCAGAACATGAACTAAAATGCTCGATTATAAAAAACCCTTAACTTGAAAACTGAGTATTTATACTCTCAATTTTTCCTAATATGATTTTTCAATATAGATTTTCCTCAGTATAATTATATTTTATTCAGTATAGAAATAAATTGTTCCCCAGTAGTGCTTGTAGTTGAAAGGACCCGCTCTTCTTTTTAATTCTGAGAAATGTGGGAAGTATTGGACCACCTTCATATGAGGAACAGAGGTAGAATTTCAGAGATGCTTACAGAGTGGTTCCAAACACAAGCTGGATGTTAAAAGCTTCCAGTAGCCTTATACAGTAGTCAGTGTTGGAAATCAAAAGAGCAAAGTCCTGAACCAGTATAAACACCTATCAAGTTCTGTAGAAGCTAAGTACCTAGTCTTACTAGGTTTGTGAGGCCTTAGCTCTGAAAATATTCCACAGAAAATAGCATACTGAAGGGAGTATGAAATAAAGGAGAAATGCCAGCTTTAAAAAAAAAAAATAAAAAAATCACACAGCACATTCTCATTGCATTAAAAAAAAAACTACTTAACACAGAGTTTTTATACTGCGTCATCAAAGACTTTAGACACTACTTGCACTTTTATGTTAACTGTATTTGATTGGTTCTGGGGCTTGAAATGCATGATTTGGAGAGGGGGAAATATTTCAAATTCGCTAATGCTACTTTTCTAAAATCCTTTTAATCTAAAGATGTATTTATCAGCCGTGCGTAACCAAAATATTTTTGGATATATGCGACTTGCCGATGACAGGTTGTCACTCATACAGTGGCCTGGGCATTTCTGGGGGGTTTGGACACTTTTAATGTGATCTAACATGGGAGGTTGGCTTGAAGAGAACGTGGAGGCACAGCGATGCAGAAGGAGCTGGCTGAGTGTAGCTGGGAACTGTAACGCATCGGTTTGATTTAGACAAAGATTAAGGGCAAAGCTGAGGAGAATTAATGACACTTGTGATTTCACTAGTGGACCATGTGGCTGTTGGAGAAGCAAAGTGCAAAAAATTTGGAACAGCTCTGTGATGTCAGGAGGATGATCAGTCCTTAGTTACTTTAGTAGTTCTGTATGCTACAGGAAAAAGCTGACTGCCTCGTATGTGAGAGAAGGAGCTGGAGATCTGCTTGTTATCATTTCCAGTGCTGAATTAATGAAATCTGAGATTGCCTTTCAAACTCCTCCTTGTGTCTGTATTATCGTGTTGTGGTGATTGCATTTATCATCAGTATTAAGCTGGGAAATACTTTTGCTCGGCTTATTTAAATGGGAAAGAGGAGGGGAGCTTCGTATTTCGTCACAGCTCAGTTTAGAAGGTTGTGTTTTTAAGATGACTGTAAGACAATTTGGCAGAATATTTAAGCTGATGAAAATTGGTTATGACATTTGTATACTATTGAGTAACACTTAATAAAGACCAGTTCTGACTCAGCTACTTCAAAGTAGAACTGCTGTGGGATAGGAGATAACTTTTTACATGTGCTTTTATATTAAACTTCTTTATCTTTCTAGACCCTCTTATTTCTGCATTTGCTTTTTAATAAATTGTGTATATAGGTTTGTCTGTTGTCTTTGATGGAAAAAGAGACGACTATTTCCCTGAACTGATAAAGTGGGCAACTGAAAATGGAGCATCCACAGAGGGTTTTGAAATAGCTAACTTTGAAGAGGAGGGCTTCGGTTTGAAAGCAACACGAGAGATAAAGGTGAGCATGTAAACGTTTGCCTTGGATTAGAAGATCGTGTTTGGAATGTAGCTGCGGAGCTCTGAAACTCTCACCGCCTTCCCTTTCCCCTTCTGACTGCTTATGAAACTGCTGTTCTGACATGTTCTCAACTCTGCGTACCTGAGAAATAAAATTATTGATATAACTGAGTATTATTTTTGAGTATTGGATAGTACTGTAAATTTTTATTCAGTCTTCTTTTTTTTCTCTGCCTATACTGTTTACCTAATCACCAGAGTACTCTACTCCATTGATGTATCCCTCTCTTCTGTGTTTTCTGACTCCTTAGTTTCTTATCCCCTTCTTTCATGTCCCTTCTTTTAAAGCACTGGTCTTTTTGCCTCGGAAAGAGATACTTGCAATACTTTTTGCAGTGAAAATGAAAAAAAACACAAAATTACCTGACAATTGTAAAGAATATCTTTTGAACGTCGGGTAAGGAGTATAGACACATGCAGTTAGCCAGCTGTTAAAAGGTAAGCATTTAGGATTGCCTCTTTCCATTCCCATTTTGCAGATGGGAAACAGCTCTGGAGAACAATCAGCTGTTGTAGAAAGAATAGTAGAGAATGAGCATACTATATTCATTTTAGGGCTTTAGTTGCACATAGTTAATAAGGCTATCAATACTGGTTGGTAAAAATTCGGAACAGTTCACTGTTCTAAAATAAGAATAGGCAAAGTGGAAAGAAAACTCTACTGGGAGAAAGTACTTGATCATGTAATTAATAGCAATATAATGTATCTGGTAGCTTTGAGTTTGTGTGGGCAGTTTACATGTTAGCAGTTCCAAACTGAAGCACTTCATTTTGTAATCTAAGTACACAAATCTTAAAACAAAGCTAATGCAGATTGGAACATTTGGTGACCACAGTATGAAACACAGCATGTTTGTTTAATTTGCAGTGGAAGGGAAGGAAGAATTTTCATTTAGAATAATTTTGATTTTTAAAAAAAGTGAGAACAGTCTGTAGTTTAAAGACAATGTACATTTGAGACACTGGGCATGTCCTATAAATGCTAACTGATCCTCTATGCATTTTTTCTTTTCTGTAGGCTGAAGAGTTGTTTCTGTGGGTTCCTAGAAAACTGTTGATGACAGTTGAGTCAGCTAAAAATTCAGTATTGGGTAAGAGACTAAGGAAGTTCTTAAGCAAGAAGTTGCTATGTACGGGATCATTCAATAGGACACTTTCTTTGTTTTTTAGCTGATCTCCTTTATGATAGCTCTTGCTTATCTTGCTGACCATCAGGTTTGGAATACCTAGAAGCTTGAAGTGTCAGTAGAAAGAACTTAATTTTCCACTTTGTTTCTGTCTGAGTGCACTAGATACCTTCCAGCAGTGTGTATGTTATTTTGAACACATATCATGTAGCTTATATAACACTTGGAGATAAAATGTTCTGAGGTACTGAGAGTATAGTTCTAGTTTCTTCATGTTTTCTATCATGCAATTGTACATGAGGTGTTTACTGAGAGTGAGAGCATAGATTTAAACTGGATATAAGGAAGAAATTTTTTACGATGAGGGTGGTGAAACACAAACGGGTTGCCCAGAGATATGGCCAATGCCCTATCCCTGGGAACATTCAACGTCAGGTTGGACAGGGCTCTGAGCAACCTGATGTAGTTGAAGATGTCCCTGCTCATTGCGGGGGGGTTGGACTAGGTGACCTTTAAAGGTCCCTTCCAACCCAAACTATTCTATGATTTTACTGTGTCAAATAACTTGCAGTGTAATTGAAAGTGGGCAGCTAAATACTTGAGAAACTTGACAAGCACTTTTTTTTTGTTGAAAATTCTTACATGTTTGTTTCATCATGTTCATTTGAAGTAAATCTAGGATTATATTTTCCATGGACAATTAATTTAGTGCCTCACCTTTCTGGGTTAATTCAGGATCCCTGTATTCTCAAGATCGAATTCTTCAAGCCATGGGCAATATAACATTGGCATTCCATCTTCTTTGTGAGCGAGCCAACCCCAACTCTTTCTGGCTGCCCTACATCCAGACACTCCCCAGTGAATATGACACTCCTCTCTATTTTGAAGAAGAAGAAGTGCAGTACCTTCAGTCAACTCAGGCCATACATGATGTTTTTAGCCAATATAAAAATACAGCTCGACAGTATGCCTATTTCTACAAAGTTATTCAGGTAAGCTTACTAAATGTAGTACATAGCGTATGTTGTTCTCGTGATGATTATTGAGGAAGGTGTGAAAACAGTGATGCTAAAGAGTAGAGCAAGTATATTGCTTTTAAACATTTGAATTATTAATTTCCTGCTGTTTTTGAACTGCTGTTAAAATCTCACAGTTCAATAGACTTATGAATATACAAGAATATATTTAGGTGTTTGAGAGGAGTGATTACTGCCCTTTGTTTGGCATTGGGTGAGGCTTCATCTGGAATACTGTGCAGTTTTGGGCCCACCAGTACAAAAGACATGTTGAGAAACTGGAATGAGATCGGAGGAGGGCTACTAAGATGTCCTTTGCTTCAGCCCTTTATCCATACAAGGAGAGACTAAGGGAGCTGGACTTGTTTATTCTGGGGAAAAGGGGATAAAGGATCAATCAGTTATTGTTCTCAACTTGTTACTGGTAGCCAGACTCCAGAAGTTTGCCTGTGGAAAGTTGGGCTAGGTGTCTCCCAGAGGTCTACAATCTATGCCTCTGACTCTGAAAAATGTGTATTTTTCAGTAAACAAAGTAAAAATTATGATTGTTAATTGACACAGAATAAAACTATTGCATATGTTGTATTTCCAGTGACTGTGGATTAGCTGTTGTTTTCTATTCTATTTAACATAATTATTTTGATTGATTTCAAATACAAAGATAAACCCATCTGGTAACAATTTGAGTATGGGGAGGCTTGAGATGGGTGAACTTTTCATCGTGTTCTCAAGTAATAACTTAAATGGAATTTCTAAGATAAAACTGTTACTCTGACTAATGTCTAGATATAACTGACGTTGCGACTGGTGATGTGTTGTTGTCAAGGCAGTGCTCAATGTCCAAACATCTAAACCTTTTTGTGGCACAATCTGTGTAAAAGGCGTATGACTCTATGCACTGAATTTCCACAAATGTGTGATCTAGAGACATTTTTTGGCCATAGGAGAGGTCAGCATAAAGCAATTCTGTTCTCGTTGAACGTTACCAGAGTTCCTAAACTTTTCTATTAACTGTCTGAAGTCAACAAAAATTGTTACTTTGTTTAGCTGTTTGGTGTTTGAAAAAAACTTTATAAGGTTTCAAATTCAACATCAATTTACCAAGTATAAGGAGTGGAGGGATGCATTTTGAAAACTAAAGCCATTGAAAATAGTGAGTGAACACCAAGTAAGATGCACTTCATTTTGCGGCACGGAATATGGTAGGAACAGTGGCTTTAATATCAGGAAGGGATGATATTCTTCCAGATGTCACAATTAAGGAAAGGATACTGTAGCCAACTCTCTTCTCTTGCCATGTGCTATTCTAGGCTGCCAGTGCACACTTGACTTTTTAGCTTTTCACTTTTTTTTCTCCTCAAAGTATACTGCCTAAGCAAACAGAACTAAATTTTATTTCTTTAGAATATCTTTTTACCCCTAAATAGTTCTACTGTTTTTAAAGAGTTATTAGCAGAATGTTGTGTAACATTATCCAATTCTTCCAACTGGTATTCATGCTCTTGCAATATTTAATCAGATAGCTAAACTATCACTATGACTAGTTCCATCCGTTTCATTGACTAATCCTGCACTGGTAGTATTATGTGAGAGGTTATGTGGTCACAACATGACTTTAAAAAAAGCTGAAACACAGTTTTACAGAGAAATGAGATCTGGAATGACACCCTGAACTTTGACTGCCATGTTGTGTCCAGTATTTCAGAACCTCTTCTCAGTGATTGATGAATACATGTAGACTGATACCAAAGTGATGCAAGCACAACTGAAGAATGTATATCAAATGCAGTGATGTAACATCAGTTGAAGTATGAGATGTGTTGTGTGAAAAGCAGCTTAAATGTTTGACAAACATTTTTCGTTTATCAAAGTTTCATGTGGCACAAAAATCTGTTTAAGGATGGCAAATAGATGCTATTTTTCTTATTGCCTCTTAAAGCTAATCAAAGATCGTTTGTATGGAATTTATGCTAATGTGGTCAAAGTAATGGCTCAGTAAAAATTAATTTATATTCAACATCAGAGTCCATGCTGTTGACTAAGAGTAAGAAAAGCTATAGTATGAGCAAATAAAATAACATGAGATGACTTTAGGGGCAGACTGTCTTTAGAACCCTGAGGATGGTGATGTGCTGCACGTGGAAACAAGCCTTTAATATTCTGCACTGTTGTATTTTCTGTCTTACGTCTGCAATTCTATAGAAGTTGATACAGTACTCATGGAGGAAGACTTCTCAGCCTGATACTGTTGAGACTGATTCAGTTTGGTTTGATCTGCAGCAATGGGAAACCTCTGTGGAAATAGCGTTTAAATAAATAGCGGTGTTCTCTTTGAGCTTTATATTAGTGTAGCCAAGAAAGTGTTTAGTATTGTATTGTTGCCTTTTGTATGAATTGTTAAAATGTAGGTTCTGGTCACTTGTCAGAAATTTAGACCAGATGCTTTTTTAGTGTCCTGACAAATGCTTATATTGCTTGTTGTATGTTCTTGTATAATACAGCTGTTGTTTCATGTTGAACATGAGCATGAAGGTAGATCAGGTAGGAATCATTTGCTTTATTTACTTGTTCTTTGGAGAATAGTGGTAACAAATATTAGATAAATTTTAGGTGTGTTCTGGTTGTTTGGTGCCATGCTTCAGCACTGCCACGTAACCACAATTTCAGCTGAACATTTCTTTGCTGGCATTCAGTAAATGTCACATTAGGAAGGTAAGATATAATTTCAGTTGGCTCCAAGAGTGCCAAGTGAATGTACTGGGTACCTTTTATTAATGCTTTTGATGAAAACTTGTGGAAGAGTTTTTAAACTTTTTGATTTCTGTTTCTGCTCTCAAAAGCAAGAGCTTGTAAGTTATGAAATGGTGGAGAAAAAAATTCACAGGAAAAAAAAAATGCCTCTTTCTTCCCTTAAACAAAGTACCATTTTTCATTATTCAGAAAAGCTGGAATGAGTTTTATCATCATCTTGCATGCACTCATAATTTTATGAACAGAGTTGACCCACAAGATACTAGTGCTAAGGGTAGGTGTTTTTGGAGATTCATGAGCATATGGAGAAGGGAAGAAGAGGTGGGGAGAGAAAAGCAAAACCACTTTGCTACGAAAGGCAGTGTACTCTGCAAGTTTTATGAAAGTGAAAGTCCTATATTTTTTTTTTTCCCGTTCAGTTCTATGACTGCTTTAGCATAAGCACTTTAATGAAAGCTTGCCTATGTGACCAGGATTTTGATACTGCTTCAGGTATGCAGACTAATAGTTTTTTAAATTTACAAATACACTTTTTGAAAAAAAAACTTATATGCACTTTCTTGATAGCTATTCTACTGCAGAAAGTAAAACAAATAGCATCTTGAACTCGAAGATGTTTTGTTGATATCTGAAGACACTGAAAAAGGGAATATGTTGTGCAGGCAAAATATTAATTCCTTTGCAGCATTTTTAGTCTGCAAAAAGTTTCTAATGAACAGGGGAAGAAAAGGGTTAACAAAGCATTTGTTCAGTGCTTCATTTTCTTTCCAAATAGGATTGTTAGACTGTTAATAAAATACTGTGGCTTCAGATAGGTGTGCAGTTTTAAACAGTTTGACAAATGCTGGTCTGTTTTATTTCCCTAGCTGCTCCAGAAGGGTGACTTTCTCAGAATGCTGCAGTTCTGACTCTTTCTCCAAGTGCTTAGTCTGGATACACATGAAGAATGGGCAGATTTATGCATTTCACAGCTGTTGCAAGCTAAACTGTAGTCTGGTTTGATAAGCAGAAACAGGTGGGATGTTGAGCAGACAAAAATAAACCATTGAGCATGTTAGCCAGGCTCTATAAACCACACTGACACCTTTCTAAACACATGTAATTTGATAACTAAAAAATAGTTAAAAGTTCTTACAGATGTACTTTTGGTCTCTGCATTGCTATCAAAATACAGCAAATGGTCAAAAAAGTGCTTTCATCGCAGCAGACTTGTAGTTTGCAAGATGGTTTTGTAGTTTAGTTCCAGAGAGAAATTTTGTAAACTTCAGGGTTTTCCCTTCCCCTGGAATGTATGTGTGTGACTGCCATTAACATTTATGGGCATTGCATGCCTACTGAAGGGTGAGCAGAGCCCAAATATTTATAGCTTAATGTTAAAATTTTTTTTGTACACTGAAATGTGGTATAATAGGCACAAGAGGGAGCCATATAGTTTGCAGACATTCACAGTTGAGATGATATTCCTAAAGAAAATACAACCAAATCTGAACCTTTTTTAGAAGAATATGCAGTGGTCTTCTCGTTTGACTTTCAGTTGATTCTGCGTGCCTGTTTGTAGTCTACTACAGAGAAGTTTTTGTAAATCAAAACAAGACATCAAGACAAGGAGTATTCTTAGAGAAGGTGTAAGTGCCCAAACTCTCTTTTACATTTTGGACTCTATGGGTCTGAAGCAGTGTTGTGTCTTTTCCCCAGGCATAGGAAAGGCTGTTACTAGCTGCCTTACTAGAAGACAATGTCATGATAATTTTAGTGAACTTTTAAAATCTCTACAGTGGTAGGTCTGAAACTAGCAGAGCCGATCAGCTAGCCTTGGCTTTTGCCCTGGTAGCCAGCTGTACGCATTCAGTGGCACTCTAGGTGTAAGCAGTGTCTGTAAGTAGCTGCCTCTTATGCGCTGGACAAAGGGTCAGTTTTGCAGAACTGTCCAGGATAGCAGTTCGGCATTGATTTAGACCAGGTTTTTAGTCTGTGGTCTCTGGACCACTGGGGGACTGCAGATTTTTCTGAAGGGAACCAGCAAGCTGGTTGTCTCGGGGCTGGGGGGCAGTGGGAGGGCAGAACACCAGCCACCACCACCGCAACCCCACACCAGTATGGGTGACATTGTAGTGGGCATCTGCTATAGGCTTTCTGATCGGGAGGATGAGGCCTTCTACAGAGCACTAGAAATAGCCTCATGTTTGCAGGCCCTGGTTCTCATGGGGCACTTCAACCACCCTGAT